AGAGAGAAAAAGAGAGATGGATTACTGAATTGTTGTTCATGGAATCAACACGCAACACATGTAACAGAAATAATGCAACATCTATACCAGAGATATGGGAAATTTTACTACCGATAAAAACAGCCCATATAAACTGACATAACTATAAAAATCAAATGTCGAAAGTAGTGTGATCACATTGATATTATTATGAGGGGTAATAATTTATGCTCGAAATGTCATCAAGAACATTATACTACGCGATTATACACTGTATACTAAATAAACAAATCTAATATGGGATTCTTTTAGAGTTAATCATGAAGTAAGGCTTCTCAACGCATTACTGCACTGCTCCAGTGACTAAGACTAGTTGAAAATGTTAGGTTAAGTTCAAGCTCTCATCAGTTTTAGCGCTCAGATTTATCAAGTTGCAAACAAGAACTGGTTTCGAGCCCATTTAAAGAAACTACAGTAGATTAGCAGCTCATCTCTCTGACCAGCCCATCATATCAGCTTACTAAGCGAACATTAGCACGTAGTGTATTTTTCTTCTCATATTTATGAAGTTGAGATTCTTAAAACATAGCATTTCTCAAACCCACAATTAATTGGGAATGATATATTTAGAAGTAGCATTCATCGTGAACTGACACCAGTTGGGGAACCGTTGAAAATCTGGAAGCACTGGATAGCTGTTCCGTCCTAGTATGGGACCCCTCAGCTGTCCAGTGCTCCCAGATTTTCAATGGTTCCCCAACTGATGTCAGTCCATGATCAATACCACTTCTAAATTAAAAATCCTCATTCATCTCAAAAATACATTACTGTATGGTACTCATCATAGACTTGCTTCCAGATGGATATCAAGAAGCTCTAATGAGAAGCCGTGACCTGTGGAGTCAACCAGTCGTAAATGAAGCGAATGTTAGCTGAAGACCTTGGGTGATAGTCGTGATATGTCGTGAATTGACAGAAGTTGGAAATTGTGAACCACCGGAAACCGACCCAGTGGCTGGATGGCTAAAGCGTTCGCCGTGAAACCCGAAGGTCCTGAGTTCCATCCCTAGTCGGGTGGCTGGTGAGTACCACTGAGGAGTCCCATACTAGGACGAAGCAGCTATCCAGTCCTCCCAGACTTTCAATGGTCCCCCAACTAATGTTATTGCATGCTGAATACTACTTCTAAATTGAAAATCCCCATTCATCTCAAAAATGACATCTTTGTTGAGAATTTACGAACAATAATTTCCTATCACAATGTTCAAGCACCTGTAAATTTCTTTTTTCCTTTAGTTTGATTCTTAAAACAGTAGCAAATCATATAATTGTGTTTGCACACGAAATTCATCATGTTCCACCGTTGAAACGCAATACTCAAACTATTCATCTATGTTGGTAACTTCTTTTACTTTTATTAACTGTAATCACATACCCTACTCTTTCAATATATTTACTCCGAAAGTAATGACAGGGAGGAAATGCACTTCATTTCAGAGGTTTCTTAGGATTAATAGTTTTCAAGATGGTATTCATCTAACTGACTGAAATCAGCTGGAAAACCATTAAAAGCCTCATGGCACTGAACAGATATTTCGTACTAACGTGGGACTCATCAGCACTACCTACCGACGACCCGTATACTGGAAAGAAACAGCTGTTCAGTGCTCTTAAGTTTCCAGTGGTTCTCCGAGTGATGTCAGTCCGTGATGTATACTGCATAGAAGTTAAATATGCTATCGTTGGGCAGCTGGTTTTAGAATTCAGTGCCTGATAAACAATTTCATCATTTACTTTGTCAAAAGCAAATCATCCGTCCAAAATGGACTGACGGTTTAAGGAAAACAAACGACCTATTTATAGTTTCTACGACTCAACTAGCCAGTCAATCTGTTTGATTCTGATGTGACCTTCACTCACTCACTCACTCACTCACTCACTCACTCACTCACTCACTCACTCACTCACTCACTCACTCACTCACTCACTCACTCACTCACTCACTCACTCACTCACTCACTCACTCACTCACTCACTCACTCACTCACTCACTCACTCACTCACTCACTCACTCACTCACTCACTCACTCACTCACTCACTCACTCACTGTCTTTCATCGTCTCTTCACCATAAAAACGATACTAGTTTATAATTATATTTTAGTTATTTGTTCGATGTGAAATTTATGAGTATAGAAACACAATTATCGGTCCCTTTGATTACACCAAGATACGACATATGCATACACCACACGTATGCACAATGATCTACGTTTTTACCTAAATTTAAGATGGGTAAACTACAAAGAAACGATACAATTTTGGTAGTCCCTTCTTGTCTTCTACCTTAGCAGTAGACATATATGTTTAAATGTGTGTACGTGTTTGGCTGAGATCACGTATATACAAGAGCTGTACGTTTACTAATGTTTAGGTAAGTACTAATCAGTCATGAATGCTATATGTACTAGTTAGTGTATAGATGATGACATGTATATACATAGTATTGCGTAATTTGATTCTTAGTAGACAATCTTTATTCCTGTTTTTAGTTTTTACATACTCTGTATATGTGTACACATGTCTGAGCATCAAGTTACACAGGACGTATTAATTTGTGTCTAGAAAAAGACAAGCAAAAATGCAGATAGATGCTGAATGAGATTATTCATGATAGTGATTATGATGATGATGCTTCATATAATGTTACTGCTTTTTCAATTCGAAGTGTCAATAATCACTGTAAAACAAGTAAGTAGGCATGACAGCTTTTTGTCATCACGAACATCCATGCTGGTGGTAAAGTTTTTATTTAACTTAAAGCGTGGACTCAGTTAAAGTTATCAACATTAGGACCGTGTATACAAAAAATCTACTGGAACAATCTAAGTCCCATAGTCTGTTTTGATCATTATCAAAATATATTGCAGTGTAATTTAGCCCATTTGGAATATTTTGTTTATGAAGCTGTAGCTTACACAGCGAAACGTGATGTAGTTACTGAAATGCTGAGAGAAGAATTTCAAGCTCCCTGAAAAAATCCTTCTTTGCAGCAACTCTCAGAGTAATGTTCTTTACTTTAAGAAAAACGTGAACAAAAAGATCTCACATCTGGCCACCTTTGTGTGTGTATATCAATTCACCTGCTCCTGTTGAGTCAATAAGAGTGAAACCAGATGGCATCGATTCTGAGCCGTATGAATGAAACTAACAAAGGCTTCCTCCAATAGTGCTGGGTTTTAGTCCGTCCAGAGATTTCCTCCGCCACCAGGGCTGATCTCACTCAACTGCTACGTGGCTACAAAAGGGTAACAGTGGTTCTGTAAGAACTGAGATTATAGAACACCTAGTCCACACTGACCATTCAATTTTAACAACCCTCTCTTTCGAAGTTATTGCTAAGTTAAAAGAAACTTACGAAAGTCAGTGCGTATCCGCCCTTTTGTATTCTGGAAGCTTCAGCAACTCCAATAGAAAAACCTCAGTTTTGTACACAAAATAAACTTGTTCAACCCTTGCTTGTTTCATGGTCTAAATCTTTAGCGTCTCCAAACGTCCACATCCTCTTCTGACTCGCTCTTTCCATTCATTTCGTACAGATTATCAACTACTACTTGTTCCTATACCAACTTCGATCACAACTCATTCATCAATACTTCGTCATGTTACTCAACTCGTCATTCAGACAAGTCACGTCCTCCTCTTGTTTAACTGAAATTCACTAAGGAAAACTAATTTCTTCAAATTGATCACCTTCATTCAGTTCCTATGCTATCTTGAACAACACTCACTAATCTTACCAACCATCCCCGTTTTATGTGATGAAAATTTAACTTTACTTGGTACTACGCCTTTCGATTACTTTACACTATTCAAATGAGACTTGACTTTTGATAACTGTTGAAATCGAAGTAGAAATTTGCAATTTTAATATGTCAATGCCATTCCAGCATCACCTATAACTTACACACTGTCTTAGCTACTATTTAATACACTAACCGTTATTGTCTCCATCGTGTAATGAGTTTCCGGTTGCTCAATGAAACTGAATTCATCATATCAATTTCATGGGAATTACCAGTTCTTATAAACGGCATGTTGCCTGTACTGATCAGTACAGGTGATTTGTGAATCGAAAGGTATATTGATAGGGAGGGGTATTGTCCTCAATAATTTGTTGAACAATTTACCTCACTCTATGTATTTGACCTCACTTGTGAAGACAGTCATCACAAAGGTTAATCGCAACATATCTCTACATTTACAGTGAATCGTCAGTCGAATACTTCGAAAACCCACATTCTCACTTTCAAACAACAATTCACCTATGGCGTGACCTGTGTATGAGTTTGCAGTTGATCAGCTCCATGTTGGCAGTTCGATTTAGTCAACTATAAAAGTTCTAGATGGGGTCCATACATTTCTTAGATAAAAGGAATGTAACGAGTGAATTCAGGATACTTTCTGAATCTGTTAACCATGATTAGAAGGCTTATCGAAGATCCTTGCATTTCGCCTTCTGTAGAAAATATTAAATACTTACACAACACTTATAAGCCCGTTTACTGCAGTTATTTAACAACGATAAAGATTCATTTGCACTACCACTTCTTTGAGGTATGCTCAATTAATTAACTACTGTCCATTAATCACAGTCGAAATAAAGTATTTGTAAGAATCCCCCTGTGTCATAGTGTACCTTGAACAATAAATTAACTCTCAATAAAGCGTTTCGAAGAGCCCAGTACATGGTCACGATTTCGTGGTAAACACAGAGATACATTTCCAAATCTGTCCGTATGAATATGATTACTCAATTAACACTAGTTTTATATGAGTACGTTGCTGTGAATGAGAACTACGAAATCTGAGTAATCAATTTTTCGCCAATATTATCCTTAAAACAAAAGACATATAACGAAGAGTCACTCCTTTCAGCGATATCATTCTCAACTTGTACAATCGTATATAAATATTCGATTCACATAGTAACAGAAAAGAAATGTTTCATGAAATATTTTGAACGGAGTTCACATATGATTATAAACCAGGAGATTGGAATAAAAGGAATTACGTAATGTTTGAAGTAGTAATGAGAAGATTTATCAAGACCGAAGTAATATTTGGCTACTAAGCTAAATGATGTAATATGGTGAATGTAGCGAAAAATTAGAACTATGGGAGTGAAGGAATGTAACAGGTGAGAAGATATGAATGAAAAGATTTTTGGAGGTGAAAAGGATTTTGTAGGTCATGCCCATTGGAACTCGAGTGACTGGACAAATTTCTTTTGAACGCAGAGTTCAGGCTTGAAAATATTAATTCCAATGGCTGTTGCAGTTTGAAGAATTTGTAGAGGTACACCTTTCACGAGATTTGTACTAACTCTATAGACGACACTGAAGTTGTTTTCTGCATTCACCGGGTGGTCATAATCTATCAAATTTTCTAAAACAGAACTGTGAAGTGTCTTCCTTTGTGTTTTGTGGAACCAAGCTGGTATATGTCCTGAAATGCGTCTAGAAAGCGAACGCTGAGTATGGCCATTATTATTATCCTTAAAATGAAGGCTAGCAGTATATTCCTACAAGGATTTAAATATGTGGATGAAAGGAGTGTATATTGTGGAATGGAAGAATATATGGTAAATACGCTTATACTGAAAAGGTTCACAAATAATGGCGAGCTTTTATTTTGGTGAAATATTATTAAAATATTCCATCTGCTTGGGTGATCACTAGCAGTAAATTTGCTCAAAATGTTACCGAAATTAGAACTTATCATTGTATGTAAACGTTTCCTGAATACATTTAAGATTTCGATTTTTCCTGAAACCTCTTTTAAAGCTACAAATTTCACTAAATACATTTTGAAACATGCTTCCTGAACTACTACACAACCTTATCATAACAGAATAAGAATCTCTGCAAACTCGGTTGACGCTTATTGCCCGACCCACTTCTCCTTATGGCCTCCTCATGATCCTGCTAAGGTCTCAGGAACTTTCTGAGAAGACTCCAGATGTTTTCAACGTTGTTTCTGTATAATCCAGCTGTTGTATCAACAGAACACTTTTTGTAAACAGTAACTTAATGTGGTTAAACTATTCCGAGTAACAGCACGAGCGGCTTCCAAACATCTATGTATACTATGGTATCCGATTCTTCCCATTTTTCGATCAGTCATAGGGCAGATCCTTCTAATCTATCCTTTGTTTACTAAAATGTTCTTCCTTCGCATTTCAGTCGTATATTACAAGAATCTGTGTTTTGTAAAGATACAGATGTGCAACTTACCCAGTCTTGTTTAAGTCATCTACCCGGTTATATTTGCGTTTCCGATCAAGACATTCATCTATTTCAGCCACATTAACTACTCCACAACTCCTACCTGCACATTATTTCGGAGCGAATATCTCTACGTTCCTGATGCTCCTTCACTGAAGAAACTTGATTAACACATTTTAGAGATCTTGCTGATATTACAGGTGTTCTACACAACCTAATGTAGCAATAAGATCATTATTTGTTGGAGAGTTAGATGAGGTCCGACTGAAAATGATCCTATTCTAAAAAATTTCTTCTTGTAACAGGTGGGATAACAAACGATGAAACCATGTATTTTCTGGTAGTTGGTATACAATCTATTACAAAACAATGTTCATAATTTAGACTTCTCACCAACAACCTGATTAGTCACCCTTAACTCGTTCTACCTGTTCAGTTTGGTTGCTACAGTATGTGACTCAATATATGTGACACAATGATTGATGACTATTGAAAAATAAAATTTCAGAACTCATATTTTGAGGAGTTTTACACTAGCCAACAAGGAGATACACGCTGAATCCTTAGTTTCTATGTGACTTCGCCAGGTTCTCTTAAATTCAGTCCTACTAGATGTCTTACTTATCAAACAAACAAGTACAAAGCATATTTCTAAGTGTGTTAATAGAACTTAAATATCCCTTAACAAAAAAGTCCATGGAGGTGTTGTATGATCTGACCTATTTGTGACAGTGTACACTTCAGTTGGCAGTCTCTTCTGTCATCAAGCCTGATGTTCAAAGATCCTCGAGAAAGTACCAAAGCTCAATGAACACTAAGCTATTTTTATGTTGGCTATCATTAAGCCTACAACTGGTATTAATTATATTTCCTCAATAATATTCATAAAATTTTAGAAACTACTGTATTCTAGGGGTTTTATTATTATTATTACTTAAAACCTTTAAATCTGTATTGTTATGATGATAAGGATAATAATGCGGCGTATTTTAATGTTTTTCCATATTTTTAATAAAAATTTTTATTACCGTAGTACAACACAGGAGGCTATATCTCACCTATTGACACTAATACAAACAAAATATACTTCATAGTAAAGAACAGAAAATCCAGTGTTCGGTTGATTTCTTTATTGATATTATGAATGAGAGAAATTGTACACACTTCAGTCTATCGAATAGCCTCCATCATGAAGAGCATGAAGATAAAAATAACAATGATACCATAGAAATTTTTGAACACCAGTCAACTGACCATTCATCTTCTTCGATTAATCATGATTTACAATGTAATACTTGTGACTATGTCGAAATTCTTGACTTAAGTTTGCGTAAGATCAAAACATCTGATGTCTATCCGTCAAGAAATCATTTATTTGAGTCTAAGAAAAATCAATATGATCGAAAACAAAATGACTTTTTACTAAACTGCCTATCGCTTACATCATCATGTTTATCTAGTAATTTCACTAGCACAATAATTAATACAGCTGCTTCTGTATCACCTGTTAGTTCAACGCGTCCAATAACCCCCAAAGATACCAGTTGTTTTAATGATTTATTAAATATTGCTACTGCCATGATGAATTTGAATAGATTACCACAGGTCAACAATGACAAATCCCCTGAAAACATCAAGAACAACAACAACAAAAACCATTGATTAATTTCAGAAATTCATTAGACAGTGAAACATACTTCAGCAAAACAAGTTGTTTATCACATCTCTCATATGATCTTTATCAATTATTGTCAATGCCTAATGTTATTCCTTATCAACAACAAAATAACCATTATCACTATCCAATTTATTCTCAATATAGTCCAAGTATATTGTATTCATTGATTAAACAACAGTTGAAATTTTCTAATCTCAACTTCACAAGTCAAACGCCTACAACAGTTCCATTTACAATAAATTTCGATATTTGGTACAAGCACTTTATTCAAAATTTATGTCAGTCAATTGTGAAACATCAACAACGAAAAGTCGAATATCAACAATCTCGACTTGATGAAGGATTACGACACGATGAAGAAAAGCAGAAGGTGAGTGAAGAGCTACAACTGGAGTTAAACTCATTTAATCTACACTGGGACGCAATGAAGTCTTCTCGAGAAGTAAATAATGCAGCTGAGAGTCCACAGTCTGGTATATACAATGCTCTATGTATGACGAAAGAAAAGAATCAAATCTCCAGGATGGAATCAAATATAGGTAGGTAGTTTAACGAAGTCTTTGGTGTGTCCGCCTTTATCGCTATTCTTATACGTCCATTTTAGGATGATTTCCGTTTGTTACAGATTGGCTTCATCAACTCTTAAGCACTACCAACTTTTTTCCAAAACAAACATGTGACCTGAAGAAAATTAATTTTGCTAACTTGCAACTATTACCTTGACTCTTATCACCTTAAATTACAGCCATCAGGACCAGATGGAATCCCGCCAGAAGCACTGAGAACAGACGCAGAGACAACAGCGGACATGCTCACACCACTATTGCAGAAGGTATGGAAGGAAGAGAAGGTACCTGTCGATTGGAAGAAGGGTTACCTTGTCAAACTGCCGAAGAAGGGAGACCTCAGTATTTGCAAGAACTGGCGCGGAATCACTCTCCTATCCACCCCAAGTAAAATATTAAGCCGCATCATCCTGGAGAGGCTTAAGGATGCACTGGATTCAAAACTACGACCGGAACAAGCAGGCTTCAGGAAGTACAAATCATGTGCAGACCAAATTGCAACGCTTCGCATCATCATAGAACAGAGCATAGAATGGCAATCAGCTCTCTACCTCAACTTCATCGACTTTGAGAAGGCCTTTGACAGCGTCGACCGAGAAGTAATTTGGAAACTGCTTCACTACTACGGAGTACCGCAAACCTTTATCAGCCTCATTCAACAACTATATGAAGATGCCACATGCCAAGTAATTCACAATGGGAAGCTCAGTGATGATTTTGAAGTGAAGACACGAGTGAAACAAGGTTGTCTACTATCCCCCATGATATTCCTGATTGTGGTCGACTGGATCATGCAACAAACAGTAGGCAGCGAGAAGAGGGGGATACACTGGACTGCGGAAAAGAACCTAGAAGACTTGGATTTCGCCGATGACTTGTGCCTGATGTCACATAAACTTGAAGATCTGCAGGCAAAAACTAACAAGTTGATAGAAGAGGCAGGGCAGCGAAGACGGGACTTCAGGTGAATATAGAGAAGACAGAGGTGATGAAGATACTGCACCAACAACTCCAACAACAACAAACTCCAATCACCGTCAACGGGAGAAGCTCAAAGGAAGCAACCTCCTTCATCTATCTAGGAAGCACTGTTTCAACTACAGGCGGGACAGACGAGGATGTCAAAGTCAGAATTGGAAAAGCAAGACAGGCGTTCATTAGCCTGAAACTAGTGTGGATATCTTCTGCACTCATCACAAGGAACAACATCCTGATTTTCAACACCAACGTCAAGTCAGTGCTTCTGTATGGTTCAGAGACTTGGCGCGTCACAAAAGGGATTCCCAATAAACTACAGACATTCATCAACAACTGCTTACGCTGGCTCGCTACTGAAGATCAGATGGCCAGAAAGAATAAGCAACAAGGAGCTCTGGGAACGAACCAACCAAGAACCTATCATCCAACAAATATGCAGGAGGAAGTGGAGATGGATTGGCCATGCACTGAGAAGGCCGACTGGGGACATCACGTGTCAGGCCAGGTACTCGAGTGGAATCCCCATGGGAGGCGACGAGTTGGACGTCCGAGGGTGACATGGAGGAGATCGTGCGAGGAGGAAATGCGAGCTTGTGGGCTGTCGTGGAACCAGGTTCAAAAGATCTCAGAGAAGAGAGGTCACTGGAGACGTGCTACTGAAGCCCTATGTTCCACTAGGAACCCAAGGGACTAATAATAATAATAATAATAATAAGCTCTAGCCAGTCACTGAATGAAGCTATTAGCTGGCACCTGTTTATAGCTTTTAGAATTTTACTGATTTCTTGCTTAAATTTTAGTATACAGTTATCCCGGCTTTGATTTTGGGAATTTCTATTACCCATTTAAAAAACTTAGTTGGCAAACCGTACATTTTTTTTCCACAAATATTTTGTCTAAACTACTTAAACTACTCACTAGTAGTTGAGCTTTTAAAATATATTACGCATCGTCTTCATGTTTACAAATTCTGATTGCGTATGCCTTTTTGGTGACTTGTAAACAGTGATTCTAAACTTTGGTTTCTGACTAGTTATTCAACCCTAATCAGAATTATTTTGGAGTCTGGCTAAATTTAGATCTTTTCACATGAATGATGCTCAACTTCGATTGCCTATTAATCAAAGGGAGGAAGGGCATTAGTTACGTTAATCTCAAGAAAAAATTAAATAGAAGCAATCAAAACCATAAACATTGTCCTGGCTACTTAGAGGTGGTCACTTTTCTTTGATAAATGTAACAGGTTAAATACAAATGGTTTTCGTTGCATAAAAATGAAACTTACAAAGTAGTAAACATTTACTATACACCTTTCATGACAAACTTCAAGTATTCTTCTTCCAGCCAACTTTAGATTGATATGCACCAGTATGATGAGTTCTACATCGTTTCTTCACAAAGAACAACTAACCCTGTGCTATCATCATGAATAATATGCTGTGCAATGTCCAGGCTTCAGTATATCTGGCAATCGCTGATGCCGCTTACTTTCTGGCAACAAGCTAAGTAACTTCTTTTTGAGATAATTCGATTTTTCCTTTCCTTTGAATTTCTTTTCAGACATAAAAAACTTTGTCCAGTTCTCCTTCATTTCACTTCTCCGATATATTTTTCTCCCTTGTTTGACGTTTCTCAATTCTCATCACTATTACTTTCAGATTTCCTTCTGATGAAGCTCTGACTAGTTGATCTACGCAGTTAAACTTTCAACAGTCTTCTTTCCCTACTCTGACTGCCAACGTTGGGCAACCACTTAGTACCACCAGACCTCAAATATGACTTGTTGTGCAGTACACAAACCAACATATGACTGCTGACGTCTTATTCTTTGACTAATTGTCTCCACGAAAATCAGTGAATGCAAAGAAACATAGTCTGTGCAAGGGATTGCTAGGATCCTTTTAAAAACATCATGTTAATATCTTTCTCTATGCGATTCAGAGTTAAGAAGTAAAGCTGTTACTGGGTTAGCTATTGGTTACACTATCCATTTCTCTGACCACAGTTGAGGTAAAAGAATTTGTCATAGAGTAATTCAAAGACTTTTTCATTTTGGGGACGCTTTAAGCTTGCTTTAGAAAAAAATTCAGTCAAAACTGACCATGACGTATCCTTGAAATTGAAAAATAACCATCACTAGATCGTAAACCAGCAGCTCATGGGTAATATGCCATCGCGAGAAACGTAGACAGGATTGTTTGATGCTCAGAAGCCTTAAGGTACTAGGGAATGCTCCACAGTTCTCGATAAGTTTCTATATTTTGACTGCTGAGGATAGATTCAGAGCAGAGGTTAAGGAAAAATTCTGCTAAATATGCATTAGGAATAGGTTGAATGTTTGTGAGCCTAAAATAGGAAGTAAAGTCATGTGAATAGGTAGTTTATTCCCTTAGAGAACTTTTGAGAACAATTTATTCAGCTTTTGCTGTACAATACACAATAAAAGTTAGTAAGAATAACTCAAGATTCTTAGCTTCAAAATTCTACTGTATTTATGTTCAAACGAAAAATCTGTTTAGATCTTTGTTCTCTGAAGTCGCACATTAATCAGTCCTAAGATTAGGACATCAGAACATTTAAAAATTACTGAAAAAGATTAAGTTCCTGAATACCAATCGTTTCTTTGAAAACCAATGAAGATTCTGACATAAAGTATCAAAGACTAAAACACTAGCAGACACATTGCATTCTTTTCATGTTGAATATTTGGTACTGAACATTCACTCAATTATTTTCATCAATACAGAACATGCTTTTAAGTACGTAGCACTGGTAATTAAAACAATGGTTTTCGGATACTCAGTTAACGTTTATAATTCTTTGAAAAGAAGTCAAAAATAGGATGTAAGCATGTATCACTAAAACTCACAGTAGGGATTTGAACAAACGATTTTGGACGCTATGACAACCCGAGGTTTATCCTCAGTCATATGCATGAAAAAATTAATTTAAACAAGCAGAATATGAATCATAGATCGATCATAATGAAAAGTGTTGTGGAAAGTTGCATATTGTGCATTACTAGGCCGTTTATATAAGAAGAGCTCTTCTGGTAGTTTGAGAAGCAGTTTTCGTGTTCAGAATGCTAAACACTTTAAATGAATTAATTCTAAATTTGAAGTGTCAAGGTTTATTTGTTGATGACCAAAAGAAGAGTGATTTGTATTGGATTACAGATAAAGCTCTTCTGTTACATTCAGTCATCAGTGGACTATAATTTAAATAAATCTCATCCATTTACAATATTTAAAATCGTATCAATTTTCATGCTTTGCAATTTGCTACTTAATTCATTGGTTAACTTTCGTTTTCGTAGACAAATTATCTACTGATGTTGGTTCACAGAAGTATATTACCTTTCAAAGTGGACTGAAGTCCACACATCAGCAATCACATGTCTACAAACTAGTGGATTCAGATTTGTTGGACAGATCTAAATCACCTTGTTTTTCTTCTCCTCCTTCTTCCTGCTCTTTGAATCCTCTACATCGTCATCGTCATCATCATACTTATCATCATCGTAATCACCAGTCAACTAATAATCAAACTAATTATAGATTGCAACCAGCCCATAATAGTAATTCTGTTAGTGATAATAGTTGTACTACTAATTTAACTTCAGTATATCGTTATCAATGTCCACACTGTATGAAAGAATTTCCACGTTCTGCTAATTTAAATCGACATTTACGTACACATACTGGGGAAAAGCCTTATCGTTGTGAATATTGTCAAAGAGGTTTTAGTATATCTTCTAATATGCAACGTCATATTAGAAATATACATCAACGTGAACGTCCATTTATCTGTACAATATGCACAAGAGCATTTGCTCAAAGAACAAATTTAGACAGACATAAACGACACCACTGGACACAGTTAACCAATTTAAAACAAAATGTATAAGTGATTTTTATTTTCTTTAATATGCATTCACAACTAAATATCTCATTTCCCCCTTTTATTTTATCATCATAAAAATATTAATGCTACTATTTATTTTCATGTATTGAAACAGTTGAAAACTTAGCTGAATTTTCGTTTAAATTTTACCTTTGATCCAATATTCATTATCTTAGCCCCAAATTTCCATCATACTACTAAATTAGTAGTAAAAATTCAATCAGGAAAACAGGTTTTGTTGATTTATGTTTTTTTCGATAATCCAAGGGCAATACTTGTTAGATGTTTAGGAATGGGTCTTACACGTGCTTGACAAATGCAAAGGTCTTTAGGATTTGTCCTCGTGCGAACTTGACAGACGCAAAGACCAATCACTAATTATTCGAACTTGTTATATACCCACGAATACGAGACCAAGGAAGAACACGATAGCGTAGTCGGATGGAATAGTATATTTGGATAGTTGTGCCAAGATACTGATGCGTCCCAACTAACTGGCTAGAGAGTCGAATACGAGCAGTGCAGCGTAACACGACAGCGTGCCAAATGGCGAGGATGCTTGACCGGGTGCCTTCAGCTTAGCGAGTCCAGTTAAACTATCAAGGTCAGCATCAATGTCGAAAGTCGTCAAACCCTAGGCTATTGATTTTGGTGAAATGCATGACGCTACAAATCACTCCCCCCTAGTGGGTTCGTGAGGACCCTAAGACGATACCACCTGGAAGTAAAAACCCAGTGGTTTCTCCACTGGTAAAACTCTTCCAAGGGGCTCACTGCGTGAAGTGGCCCCTGGTTGTCTGAACTTATTCTAGGGTGTCGTGGCAATTAAATAATAAAATACAATAAATCGAATTGGACGTCGATCGCGGTCCGCAGTTCCTTTTGACGTTCCGTCCAGTGCTCGTTGGACCTGGAATATGAATAAAAGTCTTTAATACTATGAAAACGTTTCGTAAAAATGAGAATTATTTATATATAAACATGTCGAAAAATAAAAATTTACGCTTATTTTCACCTTTTTAGAAAATTTCATTATATGGTAATTTGGGCTAGAAAAGAGCCTAAAAGGTTTTTCGTGTGTAGCGTGACTTTGCACTTATGACAAGCTAAGCACGACTGAGCCCACTCCTTAACGTCTTTGTTCATCCCAGGCCAGCAGAAACGTTGTGCGATAAGCCTAATGGTGGCTCGTACACCTGGATGAGAGAGTTTGTGCAACGTATTGAAGACGTTGCGTCGACAACTCTTCGGAACTATTGGGCGTGGTTGACTAGCAGAGACATCGCACAAAATTGTATCCTTGTCTGATCCAACTGGACAAAGTCGCAGCTTGAGAGTTGTGGACGACAACTCATGATGCAGCTCAAGGTCTTCCTTTTGACGCCGAGCTAGTTCAACGAGATCAACGCCTCGATATGGTTTATCGAAGCTATTCGAGATAGTGCGTCGGCTGCGGAGTTATTTGCTCCAGAAATGTGGCGGATGTCTGACGTGAACTGGGAAATGTAATCCAGCTGTCGCGACTCACGAAGGGAGTATTTGTCAGACGCCGAGCTGAGGGAAAACGTTAACGGTTTGTGGTCTGTGAAAATAATGAAATCACGACCTTCCACAGAATGTCGAAAATGGCGTACAGAACAGTACATAGCTAGGAGTTCCCTACCAAATGTACTGTATCTTGTTTCCGCGTCTTGCAGCCGCCTCGAGAAAAAGGCTAACGGTTGCCACTGGTTGTCAGTCAATTGTTGCAAAACTGCTCCAATTGCTGAATCAGATGCATCAACAGCAATACTCAAAGGAGCATTGGGGTCATGATGCATAAGCATGGTTGCGTTCGAAATGGCTTCCTTGACTTTAGAGAAAGCAAGTCTAGCTACGTTGTCCAGAGCCACGAACTTCGTAGTTCCTCGAAGTAGATCTGTTAGTGGTCTCATGACAGAGGCACAGTTGGGGATAAACCTTCGGTAATAACTTACCAGGCCATTGAAAGTGCGGAGATGTTTCACAGTGGTCGGCTCTGGATAGTTTGTGATAGCCGCCACTTTATCTCTCAATGGGCGTATACCTTTGTTGTCAATGGTATGCCCAAGGAAGCTGAGTGATTCAACTCCTATTTCACACTTCTGTAAGTTGACTGTGATGCCATGTTTTTTAAGTCTTTCGAATGCGAGGTCCAAATGTTTAAGGTGAGTTTCCTTATCTGGACTCGCAATTAGACAGTCATCGATGTAGACATGAACAAAATTCAAACCACGGAAGACATCATCCATAAAGCGTTGGAATGTTTGTGCTGCATTCCGAAGACCAAATGGCATGCGCAGGAATTCAAACAGGCCAAAAGGAGTAATAATGGCTGTTTTCGCGATATCTTCTGCTGCCATAGGTATCTGGTTGTACGCTTTGACCAAGTCGATTTTGGAGAAAATGTTCATTCCGCATAAGGTTGCAGTCAAATCGTAAACGTGAGGTATCGGGTAGCAGTCCGGAGTTGTTTTGGCGTTAAGCCTTCGGTAATCACCGGTTGGACGCCAGTCGTTGCTATCCTTTTTGGGAACCATGTGCAATGGCGATGCCCAAGGACTGTTTGACGGTCTGATAATGCCCAGTTCGAGCATGTGGTCGAATTCACTTTTCGCCGTTTGAGCTTATCGGGGGCTAAACGGCGCGCTTTGGATGCCACAGGTGGACCTGTGGTTGTGACGTGATGCATAACATTGCTGGTTATGCACGGAAGAGTGTGCTTCGGTTGTTGCAACTCTGGATATTTCTCCAAAACTGCTTGGTAGGACGCGTCGCCTGATTGTTTGGTTCTAACGATGGCTAAACTCGGACCTACATAGGTGGTGCCGCCAATAGATAACTTTGTGTTGTTATCTATCAGTCGTCGACGGCGAGCATCTACGAGTAGATCGTAATGGTTTAGCAAATCTATGCCAATGATGGGCATAGAGACGTCAGCAAGGAGGAAGATCCAGTGGATAGGTTTACGTAAACCTAAGTTGAGGTAGGCATACTGTCTCCCGAATGTCGCGATTGCCTTGCCGTTGGCTGCTTGAAGATTGAAGGATGGGTCAGATGACGCTCCTTTGTTGGCGCGGGAAGAACGCTAACTTCTGCGCCGGTGTCGACGAGGTAGCGGACTTTCGTTTTAATGTCGGTGACGTAGAGCAAACGGCTGTTTCCGCCGGCTACGGTTGCCGTGAGCACGTGCCGGCGTGACCGTTTCCCGAGTTTGTGTCCTTCTTAAAACGGCATGGTTTCCGACATTTTCTGGCTTCATCTCCGTAAGTGTTATGAAACCAGCACCATTCAGGGTTTTCCACCCTGCTAGGTTTAGTTTTGGGGCTACCACGCGAGTTGCTGCGATGCGCCAAGACGCGTTTCTGTGAAGTGCTACGTGAACTAGGACTTCGAGATCGTAGTAACTGTTTAACAGAGTTGCACAGCTTGGTCACCTCTGAATCCTGGCGCTCTGGTTTGTCGCAGATAGAATATACGTTGGAGACGGGTCTGCTAGAGATCTCCAGTATTTTATCTGCTGAGGCTGCCAGGTCATCGAGTGGGACTGACTGCAGTGTCACCAACACGGTTTGCACCGGTTGTGGTAGTTTCGAGAGAAATAGTTCTCGGAAGAGGCCATCGTCGAATGTTCGTGCACCGATAACTTCTCGCATGCGTGCGAGGACTTCAGTAGCTGAGTGGCTGCCTAGCTCGATGTTACGAAGTAATTCGTCTAGGCGCTGGCGATCTGTGAGATCGCTTTTCTTCAAGAGTGCGGCCTTAAGAAGTGCATAAGGATCACTTACTTCAGGATTAAACATGTGTGCTGTAACATACCTGTTTAATTCTCGCGGTAGTGACCGTATGACGGCAAGAAATCGAGAATGAGGATCTGAGACACCCTGTTCTCGAAAATCTGCCTCGGCATACAGAAACCATGTTTCTGCATTGTCTGGCCAATATGGCACGAGTTGGATCGTGTTCGTAGTCGGCCTAATACGAATAAGCTTGGGAGTGTGGTCGGACATGAGAAAGTGTAGTAAATGGATATATAAATGTTATCGAAATGAAAACAATAAACAAATATAAAATGGAACAGGCTCACCAATTCAATATTTGTTATTGGTCGGGATATGTGATCACGTCGAGCTCACCAATTTAGGATTTGTCCTGGTGCGAACTTGACAGACGCAAAGACCAATCACTAATTATTCGAACTTGTTATATACCCACGAATACGAGACCAAGGAAGAACACGATAGCGTAGTCGGATGGAATAGTATATTTGGATAGTTGTGCCAAGATACTGATGCGTCCCAACTAACTGGCTAGAGGATCGATTGCGAGTATCACAACGTAACACGATAACGTGCTAAATAGCTTGACCGTGTGCCTTCAACCCAGCGAGTCAGTTAAAACTATGAAGGTCAGCTTCAATGTTGAATCTTGTCGGACATTGGGTTATTGATTTCGGGGAAGTGTGTGACGCTACAAATCCCTCACCCCTAGTAGGTTCGTGAGGACCCTAAGACGACACCAACTGGAAGTAAAAACCCAGTGGTTTCACCACTAGTAAAACTCCCGAAGTATTTACTGTGGAGAGCGACCCCCAGTTGTTTGAACTTGTTCTTGGGTGTCGCTAAAAAAGTGATAAAATAATCAAACGTTGGATCGAAAGGTAGTCTGACAGCGTTCGCCGCAGTGCTTTCAGTGTTCGTAACACCTGTAGTAAAAACAAGTCATTAATACCCCGAAAAAGTTTTAAGAAAACAAAAAAGGGGAAAGATATATGTGCTACGTATAAAAGAAACAAATACATCTATAACAGATTTTGAGTTTGTCTTGTTAACTGAAAAATGTATGTCAGATTGTTAGCAAAAGTGATACCATAACTAAATGAAGGAAATGTTTCGCATTCTTAGTAAAAATGGTGCTATGAAAATACTTTGAGAGATAACAGAGTGGGACACATTCACGCACATTAAAGAGTTGGGTAGGTTTCTAAATATTCCGGAAACATGATGGTTCGACCTGATAGTGTTTTTTGTTTTGCGGGTGATTGCTGCTTTACCAGACACCCCGTCAAGTATTACGATGACTGTGGTACTTGCCATTAAGTTGCTGTGAACGGAAAGTCGTGTACGGTGAGGCTACATTTGGAGTAAGCTGGTTTCAAATGGTCGATACTAACGGTATCTTTGCGTCCGTCTCTTTCTAGTACGTAACTTTTTCTGCCGCTTAATGACTTTGAATGTTCCATAGTAGGATAGTTCACGCGGTCGACGAATGACATCATAGCGCGCGAAGAATTGCGATGTCTTTTGCAACATGGGCTGAACGGAGGCATCCGTTGAACAGGAATAGGCTTAACTGAACGCATCCCATTTGTAAGCGTAGTCACGTAAGATGCTGTATAGGTCGGTTGTTACATAAGACGGATATCCAAAATTTGCCATTCATCTTCCGACGGATGCAAGATCGATGTCTTCACAAGTAATATCCTTGACAGGTACTACTTCTGGTCATCTCATAAAACGATCCATGCACATGAAAAGATGTGTGTATCCACTAGATTCCAGTAGGGGTCCTACACAATCTATATGGTTGTGGTGGAAACGCGTGTCTGGGGCTAGAGAATAACCTAAAATACTTTTTGCGTGCCGTGTGATTTTACACTTTGGACAGGCTATACACGAATTTGCTCACTCTTTGAAGTCTGCATTCGTCCTGGAGATGAAAAAACGTTGTGCGATAAGCCTGGTGATGGCTTGTACATGCAGATTAGATAGTTTGCGCAACGTATTGAAAAAGTTCCGTTGGTGTCTTTTTGAGCATGGTTATCTGGTGGATACATCGCATAAAATTGCTTCTGGACTTGATCCTACTGGACACCTCTGTATCTAAAGAGTCGTGGATAACAAGTCATGATTCGACTCAGGGTCTTCTTTTTGAAGTCGAGCGAACTCATCAAAGTCAACACCGATGCGGTTTGTTGGTGATATTCGAGACCACGCGCTAGCCACTGGGTTATGTACTCCAGAGATGTGGCCAATATCCAAGGTTAACTGCGAAATTTAATCCAGCTGCCGTGACTCATCTGGAGAGTACTTACTGGCCCCTGAGCCAAGGTAGAGCGTTGGCGGTATGTCGTCCGTGAAGATGATAAAATCACGACCTTCAATCGAATGTGGAAAATGATGAATAGAACAGTACATAGCTAGGAGTTCCCTACCAAATGTATTGTATCTCGCTTCGGCTTCTTTCAGTCGGCTTGACAAAAAGGCTGGTAGCTACCATTGGTTGCCAGTCAGCTGTCTGAAAACTGCTCGGATTGCTGAGTCAGACGGATTGACAGCAACGCTCAGAGGAGAACTGATGTCGTCATGCAGAAGTACGGTTGCATTTGTGATGGCTTCCTTGACGGTAAAGAAAACGAATCTAGCCATGTTATCTAACGTCACACATTTTGTACTTCCTCGGAGTGGATCCGTGAGTGATCTCATGAGAGAAGAAAAGCTGAGAATAAACCTTCGGTAATAACTTACTAGGTCAGTGAAAGTGTGGGGCTGCTTCACAGTGGTCGACTCTGAATAGCTCATGATAGCCGTCACTCTATCTGTCAGTGGAGGTATACCTTTGTTTTTGATATTATTCCCAGGGAAATCGGGCAGTTCGACTTCCATTTGACATTTCAATGAGACAGTCACCGACGTAGACATGGATAAAATCTAAACCGCAGAAGACATCATCCATAAGGCGTTGAAATGTCTGTGCTGCATTCCGAAGAGCAAAAGGCGTGCGCGGGAATTCAGACTGGCCAAAAGGAGCAATAACAACTATTTTAGTGATATCTTCTGCTGCCATAGGTATCCGATTGAACGCTTTGACTGGGTCGATTTTGGAGAATATGTTCATTCCGTATAAAGTCACAGCGAAATCGTAGATTTGAGGTATCGGGTAACAGTCTGGTGTTGTTTTGGCGCTGTGTCATCAGCAATCACAGACCAAACACCAGTCGTTGCTATCCTCTTCGGGAACCATATGCGATAGTGATGCCCAAGGATTGTTTGACGGTTTGACAGTCCCTAGTTCAAGCATGTGATCGAACTAGCTTTTTCTGTTCTGGGCTTATCAGTGCCTAGGTGTGTGTTGTGTGCAAACGGCTTTTTCTGCTGGTTACGGTTTCTGTTAACACGTGATGATGGGCGTAGTTTTTCGATTTCATGCGGTCTTTGTGGAAAGCGCTCGGCTTTCGATGATTTCTGGCTTCTTGACCATAGTTGTGGTGAAACCAAAGCCATTTGGGACTTTCTATTAAGCGAGATCTAGCTCCTGGACGGTCACATGAAATGCTACGATGGGGTGAAACACATTGCTGTGTTTCACGCTGCGACATAGGGCTTCGGGTTCGTAGAAGCTGCTTAGCAGAGTTATATAACTCTGTCACTTCTGAATATGGACCTTTAAAATTTTAGATGATAGAATATACCCTGGAGACGAATTCTCCCAGAGATCTCCAGTATTTTATCAGCCGAGACTGCCAGGAAATCGATTTCAACTGACTGAGGTGTCACCAGCACGGTCTGCACCGACTATAGTAGCTTCGAAAGGAACAATTCGCAGCAAATACCATCGTCGAACTCTCGTGCCCCAATGACTTCTTGCATGCGTGTGGACAGATGAGTGGTTGAGTTGTTTCCTACCCGGATGCTATGTAGTAACTCATCCAAACGTAGGCGATATGTTGGATCGTTTTGCATTAGAAGTGCTGCTTTCAGCTGTGTATACGGATCACTTCAGGTCTAAATGTACGCACTGTGACTTGTATGTTTAATTCCCACGGCAATGGTCATATGACAACAAGAAATCGAGAATACGGGTCTGTGACACCTTGCTCTAGAAAGTCAGCTTCGGCGTTCAGGAACCATATTTGCCTTGTTTGGTCAGTATGGTATGAGCTGGTTAGAGTGTGTTGTAGATTCAATGCGGATACGTTTAGGATTCAGGTGGCACACGCATGCGGGAGTGCATAATATGGATAAACGAAAGTTATCAATATAAAAACAGAAATGCACGAGTAAAAAAGGGAACCAGCCCACCAGCTTGGGGAACTATTTGTCACTACAGGTGTATATAATGTGGAAAAATAATTTTGTGCGTATCTTATGAGGTGAGCCTTTTCTATGGATGAAACTTTATCATAATTTGGTTATCTGATGGAATCATGTGTATAATAATTCAGCATCAATCGAAGAAGCATTCAGAAAAACAGAGTACTACAAATTTTCAGCTCCTACTCAAACTCCTTTAAAATAAAAACCACAAAAGCACCGAGTTTTACTAAAATGAAATGGCACTCATGAAATCTGAAATTCGTACATTCGATATCTCGTAGAAGTGTTGTATGTATAGCTGGCTGATTAACTTTAGATGCGCGCCCCTTGAATAGTGACGTGTTTTCGCTCGTCTCTCAGCTTTTGGATTTTTCCACAATGAAAAACTCCCACTTGCAATACTCAATCTAAAAACATCGAACGTTTGCAGCACTTCTGTCCATCCACGCACCTCACCCCTGCGCATTCGTCAGCTCACTCCTCAACAGTTGAAAATTGGCATTATTATTCCTTTGAACCAACCGGTCTACCTCCTGTCAGTGGTTCTTGGGCGTTTCAACTGCCAAACTGCCTTAGCTCTCGGTTCTCCTCGGAGGTCATTCCCCAGGAAATATCTTTCCTGGTTATACATACGCATCTGGAGCTTACGGTTAAACTCGTTGGTCAAGAGCAGAGGATCAAGTGACAAGTGTCTGAAGGTGAGCCAACATAAATTATCTTCCCTTTTCTATTCTGTCCTTTTGCTGCATTCAGTCTTCAACCCTCTTATTGTTGTTAACTACTTGTTTTCCCAAGAAGTTTATATCATAGCGACATGTCTGCCCAAAACGCTAGGTCTGAAGCTTTGACACGGATAACGCGGTCGTGCACAACAACGGCCAGTAACACCCTAAACAACACACTAGTCTGTACTAGAAGACAAACAGAGGTAGGGCAGAACACCGAACTTCTGAAGAAGTGGCCAACCCATGTTTCTAGAATTCCAGTAGCCATCAGACAGGTGACACAGAGTAG